TTTTGCTAAATTAAATGCTTTCAGTGACTACTGAATAATAAGCAATTATTTTTATTTAGACTTTGAAGACTCACAGGGTATATTATAGAACAGGTCTGTCCAACAGAACTTTCTGTAATGATGGAAGTGTTCTACATATCTACACTGTCCAATACAGTAGCCAACAGCCACACGTGGCTACCGAGCACTTGAAACGTGAGTAGTGCAACTGAGGAAACAAATTTTAAATTTAAATCACAAGTGGCTAATGGCTACCATGCCAGACAGCACAGTTGCAGAATTTTTAAAGCAGTGTAATGTCAACAAACCAACAATAGCTAACAGGGATAAAAAGACACTAATGATACTACAACTTCAAATTAAATAATAAAACTAAATCACACTTTAAAAATAAATGGGCCCCAATTCTGAAAACAATGCAACAGAATAAGACGAGGCTACCATGCTGATAAAATTTCATCTTTTTAAAAAAGTTTTTTTTGGGAGGCCGGCCCGGTGGTGTAGCAGTTAAGTTCGCATGCTCTGCTTTGGGGTCCTGGGGTTCACAGGTTCAGACCCCAGGGGCGTACCTTCGCATCACTTATCAAAGCCATGTTGTGGTGGCGTCCCACATAAAGTAGAGGAAGTTGGGCACAGATGTTAGCCCAGGGCCAATCTTCCTCAGCAAAAAAAAGGACTGGTGACAGATATTAGCTCAGGGCTAATCTTCCTCAAAAAAAAAAAAAAATCGAACTTGGTGCCATTATGTCCTTATTACAGAAAAAGACTGACACATTTTATATTTCTATCTTTATATGCAGACTGATGATTTTTCCTGAACACCTAATTCCTGACTGCTTATACTGAAAATCTGGAAAACAATCTAAATATCAAATATGGAAAAGGTTAAACAAATTAAGATATTTAAAAGGCAGAATACTGTGACACTATCAACATCATTAGCGCATGGACTACACTGTCATGTGGAAAGGTAGGAAATTTTCAATGAAAATAAAATATACAATGTACAGTGATTTCAACAATATAAAAAGGACTACATATACCTTGAGAAAAGTAGGAAGTAAACCCTGAATATAAACTCATCCTTATTTTTACCCTATGAAGTATTTTAATTGAATTAAAATTCAAGTCTAATAAAAAAATTAAAAAGCCCTTCTTGATCTCCCTCTCCTCTACTAATTTCATGCAATAGCTTATGAATGCCCCCATTACTTCACATATGTCTTATCTTCTGTTAGGTTCTCAAACACCTCAAGAGTTCTGCTTCTCTTCTCTGTCTCATTCATTTCTTTACAGGGCTGTGTTCATAGGTACTTAATACTGTTGGATAAATTAGTTGCTAGGAAGAGGAATCTCTCCTTAAGGGAAGTTAGAGACAAGGAATAAAGAAGCCAAACACAGAACACGTTCAAGCATTCACTGATTTAACAAATGAATCTCTACTGTCAGGCACTGTCACAGCACCTGGAGATTCCAAGGTAAGACACCTCTTGGCTATTCAAAGTTTTCAAAAGAAGATCGTTTCCAAAATGTCTTCTCTTATTAAAAAGAGCCCAATCAAAGCCTCAGAGGGCACTCCCAAACTTAATGATGTAAACTCTAAGTCCTGGACAGAGAGTTACAGAAGTGGACAGCAATACGATTGCAATTATGTTTTTTTCTGTCTTCCCAAATCATGCAAGCCTCACATGTAAGAACTGTATCTTACTCAATTTTTTAGGCATTGCTCCTAGGTAACAGTGAGCACGTAATAATTATCTGTTGAGTGAATACATGAGTGGACAAATCAGATTCTGTACTTGAAAAAAAAAAGCCCGTATGTGAAGGAAATCGCTATTTGTTGCAGGGACAAAAAGAAGGTATCAGGATGATTCAAATTAGAGATGGTTCCTAGCTGGCACCTTTAACAAATTTAGGAAAATGGGCATGGTGCACAGCACACTGACAATTAATCAACCTGTGCTGAATGAATACAAGAGCGTCTAAGCATTCCGGGTTCCCTGCTGCTAGCAGAGGAACCGGGAAGCAAGGGTGCGGGGATGCACCAAAGCGAGGAAAAGGTTCGCCTCTGAGGCATTTCCCGCGGCTGTCATTCCTCTCCCGCAACCTCCATGCCAGGAGGGGTCACTGGGGCCAGCCGAGCGAAGGCTCCGGCCTCCCCCCGCATTGCCCAGCCGTCCCGCCGCACTTACTGCCGAAAGGGGCCGTCCAGGCGGCAGCCGCCCCCGCCCCGGCCTCCGGGCGCCAAGGCAAGCACTTGAAGGCTGCCTGCAGCCGTCAGGCTCCCCAGAACCTCCTGCTCCTTGTGCAGCTGCGCCCGGGCCCCCAGGCACCCCGTTGCCTCGGCGGGAACTGGCACCAATAACACACGTAAAACTCGCCCCATGGCTGCAGCAGTGAAGCTACCGCCGGCGGCACCACTTCCGGCCCCCTTCTCTGTAGCCATGTTGGCTCGGCCGCTCTTCCGGTCACCTGCGCCGGACCGTCCCGGAACCCGACTGCGTCCTGGGCATGCGCAGTGTAGCCGAGCCGCTCGCTGCCTCGTGACTCCCCCGGGAGAGTCGAGTCTGCGCGGTTACGTTCCGTGCTGTGGAGGAGCGCTGCAACCACTTCCGCAGAGCCACATCTGCTTTTGTCTCAAGCCCGCTGTGTGACTGCTGTGAAATAGTTGAGGGCCTAATTTAGCGGCCTAAAGCAGGCTGTAGCAGCTGTTTTCACACGTGGCGTTATCCTTTGCTGCCTTAATCTGGCAGCCTCCTATCTATTGGAATCCTATTCCTGCTTTTCGTATTGTGCTATTATTTTTGTTTACAGGCCCTGGAGTGGTGCAATGTCCTTGGTAGTGTGGACCGATCCATCAGGAGGGAGTTGACCTGAATGCTGAAGTCAAGTAGTATCCATTGTTACAGGCAGGGAAACAGGGTAGGTAAGGGGTGGAGGAGGACGTGTTCGTGTTTCATTACTCCTCTTGTCTCTGAGAAGTATGATCCAAGATCATAAGCAGAGAGGGAGAGAAGAGGTGGTGAGTAGGCATTTTGGAAAGGTCTCCTAATAGACAGCAGTCCCTTATCAACACCTTCTTTTTCACTATGAGATGGGGTCACGTGGCTATCCAGGGCCAACTCCTGTGTACTTTGATTCCTATCCTCCTCTTGTTCTAGGACTGTGTCTAAAGTTCTTTTTCTCCTGCGTTGCTTTCTCCCCCCTTATTGGAGTACTTTATCATGGAGACATGCTCTTACATCATTCTTTTAAAAAAAAAATCCTCCCTTAACATACCTGTCAATTTTCTCTGCTTCCCTTTTTTTTTTTAAAGATTTATTTTTTTCCCCCCAAAGCCTTAGTAGATAGTTGTATGTCATAGCTGCACATCCTTCTAGTTGCTGTATGTGGGACGCGGCCTCAGCATGGCCGGAGAAGCTGTGCGTTGGTGCGCGCCTGGGATCCCAACCCCGGGCCGCCAGCAGTGGAGCGCGCACACTTAACTGCTAAGCCTCGGGGCTGGCCCTCTGCTTCCCTTTTAGAGAATCCCAAGTTGACTGCTTGTAGTCAGTTCCTCCCTCCTCACCTCAACCGCTCTGCGCAGGCTGCCATCTCCACCAAAACTGTCCCTCAAGGTCCTCAGTGATCTTCATGTTGCCACAACCAGCCCTCACCTCTCTATCCTCATTCCTCACTCCTTTCTTAAAGTACTTTCTTTTCAACTTTGGAAACACCACTTCCCTAGTTTTCCCCCTATTTCACTGATAACTCCTCCCCAGTCTCCTATGATGGCTTTTCTTCCTATATGATTCTTCCTCTCTTCTAACTGTAAATAACACCCATATGTTCCCACTTTGTGTCTTTATCCCTGGCCTTTTCCTTTGACTCCAGACTCTGTTTACCTACTTGGTATATCTGCTTGGATTTCTAACAGGACTCAATTTTAAAGTGTCTAAAATAAATGTTGATTTTTAACTCCCCACAAACCCATTTTTCTTATTTTTCCCACTTCAGTATGGGGCACCCACCCTTCACACTACCTGAGAATCACCCTTGATTTTTAATCACCACCATTATCCAGCCCATTGGATAACTGTCAACTCTTACTTCCAAGCCCTATTCCAAATCTCTTCTCTGCTTTCCATGTCCATGGCTCTTCAATTCTTGCCTGAGCTGTTGGAAAAACCTGACATTTTTCTCTTTCTTGTTCCTCTAACAATTCAACAGTCAAAGTGATCTTCTAAAAACAAAATCACATCATATCACTTTCCTGTTTAAAATTCTAACTTCCCATCACAGTTAAAAAAGTCCAGATTTTTTTTAAATCATGGCTTACAGATCTATACCCTGCCTACTCTCTCCAACCTGATCACACTCATCACCCTCCCCCTTATCTGTGTACTTCAGCCACTTTCCTTCTTTCTTTTGCTGAAACACACAAAGTTCATGCTCACTTTGGGGGCTTTGTGCTCGCTAGTGCGTCTACATGGAATACTTGTCCTTTGTTTCAGCTTAAACGTAATCTCTTGGCAGGCCTTCCTGGACCATTCCACTCCAGTGACTCATCACCCAGTTTTGTTTTCACCATAGTATTTATCACTACTTGATGTTTTGTGTCAGCCCCAGTCCAACCAGAATGTAAGCTTCAAAAAAGCAGGGACTTTTTGTTGCTCACCACTGTTACCCTAGCACCTTAAACAGTGCTTGGTTCAGAGAAGGCACTCCACTGTTTGTTGATGAATGCATGACCCTGTTTGTGAAGTTAAACCAAACATTTCATATCCCAAAGGAGATATTTATATCCAACCCTCTTAGTTTTGCTAGGGCTACTTTCTCTTTATAAAAAATGGCAACATTAAAGCATAGTCATTTTCAAAGTCATACTTTTGTTAGACATAAGGCCTTATTTCTTATATTAAGCACATTCTTGGAGCATTCACACATAAGAAAATGGCTTTCATCATACCTAGTTTACAAACAAATTTTAACACATTTTTCTATTATCTCTTTAATTATCCCTTATTATGCCATGCCTTTTTAGGCATATCATTCAGGTTTTTGAAGAAAGGATAAGAAAATGTTTTGGGCAGGGTCCTCCAATATATCAAGGCATGAGAAATGTCTTCAGACTCTCTGGATCCCTGTAGACATAGGCCAAACAGCTAGTGTCTGATTAAACTTTTCCCACATGTATGTATTGCAGAACAACCAGATCAGTAGATCCAGGCAAGCCTACAAAGAAAACAAGTGTTAACTTGTTAACTGCAAACATAATTCCATTTTCTAAAGTATTTGTGTGATGACTCATGTCTGACTCTTTACAGCAGATGGTAAATTCTGAGGACAGCGATGACCTCTATGGTGTTCATGCTTATATCTTAGCATAGTTGTCCCTCATATTTCTTGAATGAACAATTCAGCTTCTCAAATTACTTCTTGCCCTCAAATAGCTCAGCATGATAAATGACCAAAGCACCTGAGAATAAATGAAAAGTTTTGGCTGAAGAAACAGACCACAGTGTCCTAACTTGGAACAGACTGCTTACTCAATAAATGCCAGTGTCTGAAACTACTTCTAAAAGCAAGGTATCCTCCATACTCGTAGTTTAAAAAAAGTAGAGAGGTAAGTGACAGAACCTAGATTGGGCTTGAACCAGGGGATATGACCTTGTTTCTACCATCACTTACTCCATCCTGGCCTCTAACTGCTGTACCAATTGTTTATCCACATGGTGACAGAACAGGGGAAGAAGGTTGCTGGGGAAGGCTAGGGGTTCTGCCAGAGAGGCTGTAGGCATTTGGGCTATCTCCCAGGCGATCAGAACTACCATGTCTGTCCTGGAGGCAGAGAAGAAGAAATACATCATAGTCTTTGTATTTATGCAGGAAACAGACTCAAGGCCAAGGTTCCTTATTATTCTCTACTGCCACTATCACCCTCTGTGCACGTAGCAATTAAGAGATAACATTTGCATGTTTGGTATGTGCCAGGCAATGCTTAGTGCTTTACAAATCTTCCTCTTATTTAATCTTAAGAACTCTAAGTGATTACTACCATCATCCCTAGATCCCTTGTTTATAGATGAGGAAACAGACTAAGAAGTGAAGTGACATGCCCAAAAGTTGTAGTGTTAATAAGTGACAGAGCCAGAATTCAAACCTAGATCTGTTTGACTCTAAAGCTTGTCCTCTCAATGACTATGTTACTCTGCCTCCCATGGGAAACCAACACTCTAGGGCACTAGAGAAAAAAAAAAGAATAGCTACAACTCTGCTAGTTATCCCTTCTCTGTCCAACCTCCTCCCCCATGCTTCAACACACCACTCAGGAAATACCTCATCTGGCTCAGCCTACACATCCCAGGGGTACTGGAATAGTATTTACAAGACATTTATGATCTTACCAAGCTGTACGGTCACTGTTGGATTTCTCTAGGGAAGAATCCAGGGATACCATCTGCTCCCCGTGACTTAGCAGGGCATAGAGCAAAGATATTCCAAACTGCAAGTGATCAAGTATTCAGGGTAAAATGAGTTAAACGCAGGCATTCAGTGCTTCCCTGGCTCTGTCTTCCCAACTAAAAGGGCAAGTTCACATGTACAAATAGAGTCCAACACCCATGAAACTGTCAAGTTTTACACTGGCTGGCCAAAGAACTCAGACCTTTCCAAAGAAATCACTTCCCTGAACTCTCCAAAAAGATTCTTTTGGGGAGCTGATTAAATGCATACTCGTGGGCTCCACCGCCAGGGATCAGCATCTGTAGATCAGGAATAGACCCAGGAATCTAATACAGAAAGTTTGTGGACCCCATTTTAAGAAGCATTGCTTAAGCAAAGATCTTCAGAGAGTGGTTCACAAGATATTCCACTGGGATATTAGAAGAAGATATTACAACTTTCACATCTGAAGTCTCATCTTTTAAAACTTTCTATCTTGTATTTATTGTGTACCTGTTATTAACAGTGTTACATGTATATGACTTATAAACAAACACATGGGTGATATGGTTCAGAATTTTTTACTAAAAGGGATACACAATCAAAAGAGTTTGATGACCTCTGCTTTAGAGATCCACACCAGGACATCATCAGGGAGCTTGTTAGAAAAGCTAAGGCATGGGCCCTACCCTGGGTCTACTGGATGAGGCTTTCTAGGGGTGGGACCAGGTGTTCAATAAGCCTCCAGGTGATCCTAGTGCTCACTAGAAGTTGAGAAGCACTACAGAGGATAAGATGGAGAGATGAGAACATTCTGCCACTTCTTACTTGCTAGTGATACACCTGGAAGACATCCATGGACAGAGAAAAGTCTCCCAGGTGTGTTACCTGATTCTGAAGCACCACAGTGACTGGCCGCTCTGAGGAGCCAGATGGTAGCAGTGTTAGTCCCTGAAGTCCTTGGAGGAGTTCATGGAAGGTCAAGTGACTGATACATCTGCCCAGAGGTTTGAATAACATTTGTAGGGCCTGCAAGAAGGTCAGTAAGCACCTCTCTGATTCTGCTACTTCACCTCCTCCTACCTTGCTTCCCACCCCTTTTCTTGCTGACCTGCCTTTGGTGTCTTTCTGGTCAAGTTTTACCAGAGCTATCAGCACTCAATGTCTCTCCATCCCTAGCACTGGTCCTTCAATACCTACTTGTCCTAGGATGGCTTCCCTAAGAAAAGTAGATATGGGGCTCAACACTTATCAGAGAGTCCTTATCACCTCAAACCTCCACAACACGTACTCACCTGTGCAACCATATACCCATGTGTTTTTCATCCATTGTACCTGAAGATGATCAGCTGTTCCTATAGTAGTTAACTCCCCTACTTGAGAGTGGCAAAGTCAGCACCCCTCGCTGCCCAGCACCTTCTCTGGCATCTCTGGGAGTGGGGAGTGGAGGAGGAGGAAAGATCCCTAACCTGTCCACAAACCATCCTCTTCTCCACTCAGTGCCACCATACCTGATCAGCCACGTCCCTCTTGACCAGGAGGGGCAGATGGTGAGTGATAGCCAGAAGAAGGCTAACAGCTCGATCCTGGGGCAGGAAGGGGAGCAGCCGGGCCACTAGAGCTTTCCCCTTCCTCACAGAAAGCACCTGCAGGAAGCCATCTGCTGCCTCCCTACAAATGAGATAGGGGAGCATTTTTAGGGCTCTGCATAAAGGAGAGGACTACATGCTCGAGAGGAGGGGCAGAAGCAAAGCCAATGTCTTTGCTGATCCTTCCCTTCCTGGGCTGAGTTGTGACTCTCCCACACTCACTCCAGATTATTCTGCTCCTGGGTCTTTAAGGTCTGGAAGAGCTTCTCAACCTGGTTGCTCTGCTGCTCAGAGTAGCAGGGCTGTGGAGGCCCATCCTTCTGGCCCTCCTCTATCTCTAGTAACTGAAGGAACATCTAGGAATTTGAGGATGGGAACAGAGGAAGAGGAGGTAAATTTGAGCAATATCCCATTCTCATGGGTAAGTTAGGAACTCGTCCCTAAGGAGCTGATAGCTCACCTTCTCAATTCGGTACAACACCCGAAGCCTCTGACTGCTTGCAGCCCCTGTCTCCTAGAAGAAAGAGTCCCCAGCCATCAGCCACACCTCCAAAGCAGCAGCTCAGGCCTCTGGCGAGCTAGACATGGAGCTGACAAGGCTAGACACAAAGTCTGATCACGCTTCTTCACTCTTTGGTCACAGTCTGGACACAAGCATGAGAGTGCTCCAGACCTTTCTTCAAAACAGGGGAAGAGAAAAAAGGTTCTGGGCAGATAATGCTCCTACCTGCTCTTGAGTTCCATGGGGTACAGCGTCAATAGCTCGGCGAGGGCTAAAACACGTCGATACAGCTACCTGGCCCAGGGAACCCTCGATTCGAACCACTGCACAGAAGGAGTCAGGAGAGGCACATTCCCCTCCCCTTTCCACCCTCTGCCCACTCAGATGTCCAGCCCAACTCAGCAGGTCAGCCCTGGTCCTACCTGACTCATAAGCCTCTGCCTTCTGAATGTAAGGCGTTACCAGCTTGAGGGACTCAACCTTGTTCCTTCGCCCAAGTAGTTCTTCATCTGCCTGCTTCTTCTCTAGTTTCTGATAATACTTCTGAGAGTCCATGGAATAGAAAAATGCCTACTCATCTTCTGAACTTAGAATTAAGGTTCTCAAGTGCAACCTCTTAATATACCCTTTCCTAAAGCATTCATTCCAGAAATGATCTTGGCACCTTAGGCCCTTCTAGCAATTATCCTAAATCATCTTAAGCACCCTGGGCCTCATGCCACCTATCTTGGGGTCCCCATACTAAGGACTTGAAGAGCTAGATAACACCACCAGATCTGATGGAAAGGCAGAGAGCAAAGTGGAGAGCCAGGAAGCAAACCTGTCTGAGCATCTGCAACCTTCCTGTATTCCTTATTCCCACACTCCATACCACATATCCTCCCCCTCCCCATTATAATTTTGTGATCCTACCTGGGCTTTCCAAAATCAGAGTTATCTGATGGCATGAAGACCATAAGCAGCTTGAAGTACAGAGATAGCATTATTGTCAGTTGGTCTCTAGGCCAGTTTTATACTTCTGAGGATTTGCTCAGCAGCTCTAATAGCTTCTTAAAGAAATCTGTAAAGTCCCAAGCTAAAATAAAGCCACTGACCGAGAGTCAAACAAGGATTTGAATAAAGCTCCTTCATTTAGGAGCAGTGCCAGAAAGGCAAGAGTATAAAACGATTTCATTTTCAGTGATCCTGGCACAAAGAAGCGAGTTTTTGAAGCGTGGTGGAAAGAAAGGAAGAAACTAATGTAAATAGGAAGGAGATCAAGCGGGGGGAAACTTAGTTGAGAAGGAGGTTGAGAGGAAAGTGAAACACAGCTTGGACAACCCAAAAACCCATAGACAAAGAGTTGCCCCATAAATAAAGGGGAGACAGGAAGCAGGGGGAAATGAGTTACAATGTCTGCCAGCATTTGTTCAAGTTAACAAATTGAAACCCACTATATATAAGATCCCTGTTTTAGATCTAAAAAAGTAAAAAGTAGATGAATGTCTATAACAAGGCATTTTTAAGATCCAAAAAAGTGTACAAAGGTGAAAAAATCCATAGTTCCAGGCTGAATAGAGGAAATTCTGGGCAAAGGATGGAGACAAAACCTGAGTCTGTTTGGGGAACTGTAAATAATCCCATTTGGCTGAAGTGTAGGAGAATAGAGGGGAATGAGCTTGGGATGTCAACTTTAGAAATATGGCCCCTATCCTGTAGTGACTGCCTCTCCTGCCTGAATGGACTTGGCCTCTGAGAGCTGAAGAGAGGATCCACGAGGGCCCGGGGAGTCCAGGCTCCACGGTCAGAGGTGGGAAGAATACCTGGGGCTCACCTGGTAGTAATAATCATCCAGGCGGGGGTTCTCACTCTGCAGCTGAACCATCTGCACTTTTATCACCCAGTCCTTCTCTTTTCGGGTCATGAGGTTAGCATAGGGGTCTGGTTGCTGAGACCAAGGCTTCTTGGCTGAGGGACTTCAAGCCAGGAGGAGCATCCCTTTAGACGTACCCACCCCTGCCACAGTGAACTTCCCAAGGAGTGGTGAGCAGGGATTGGTGCTGTCTGGGAAGGAGGGGAGCGAGTGCAGAGGTGGGCAACACCACGAGAGTCTTAATTGTGCAGGGGCTTTGAGAATCACAAGGGAGTACCCAGCATGTGGATGAGCATCAACCCTGCTCCTCATCTAGGCTTTACCTTGGTGTTCGACTGTGCTGCTGCATCTGCAGGATCCGTTGGTGCTGAGGGTGGAACTGGGTCAGATGACTGGGAAGACTGAGAAAGAAACTTGGGCTGGGTGAAAGAAAGCTCTCAGCTCCCTACCCCTTCAATTCATTTAGCCTCTGGTAACTTCAGCAGGACATCTAAGGTAATCCTATCTGTTTATGTGCCTCCCCGAAGTCAGCAATATGAAACATCACAATCCTAGCTCAGCAGGCCTCACATTCCCCTCCAAGATAGACTTTCCTACAATTTGGCTGCAGGAAATCTTGACACAGTAGAAAACCATTGGCCCTGTTTGTCAGGAGTTCTGAGTCCTAATCTCAGTTTTGCCATGTCACCTAACCTCAAGTAAGTTCTTTCTAGTCTCCCTGGGCCTCCATTTCCTCATCTGTGAGGGAGAAGAGATTGGACTCTACTTCAGACTTCTCTTTTTAATTTCTGTAAGTATGTTTCTGTGGCAGCTGGTAGAGCAGCCCCCACTCCTCGTCAGCCATGACCTCCTGAGACCTCTGGAGAAGAGCTCAGCCTGTCATGGATGCTGAGGTGCCCAGCACCCTGACCCAGTACCTGAACCTAGGCCATGAGGTCGGCAGGCTGCAGAAGATAGATGGGTCTGGCAAGAGCAGTCGAGGTCCAAAATGCCGTGCTGAAGAGCTGGCGCTGGGAAAGGTAGGCCGGAAAGGAACTGGTGACAGGTAGTCCACCGTCTGAGAGAAGGATTAAGAGGTCTGGGAGAAGGGCATCTGCATCAACAGAATGCTGCTCTTCCTGCCAAGTGCCTTTCCTGCCTCTGTATTCTCACCTGCATTTTCCCTAAAGAAGCTTATCCAACATTTTGCCATCTTGGGGGCCCTCAAGCCAACTGTGAGGGCACCAGACTGTGGATCCTGCCCTTGTTTCCAACAGGGTTTGTCATCTCCTAGGGAAGCAGCTCTTCAGTCCCTGACAATGTGGGGACATGTGCTTTTCCTACTGTTTGGAAGGTCAACACCTCTCCCTCTCTTCTGTTAGTCTTCTCTCAGTCTCAGGCTCTTGTGTCTTTAGCTACTGGGGCAATGCTTATCTATCTCTTTTCTGACTCATCTGAAGCCCTCCCCAGAGCTGTAATTCCCTTCTTGTTCTCCCTGAAGATTTCCCGCAATTCCTCTACCCCAGACCATGTTCCCATTATGCAGTTAATTGAAGGGCAGGTGCTCTTTCTAGCCCTAAGCTCAGTGCTGCTCATCTGCTGAAATATTTTGTAAGGTGTAAGCAGGGGTCTAGTTTCTTGTTTCATCTGAACGGCCAGTTGTCCTAGTACCACCTCTGTCATTTACCAAGCTTCCCTACGTTATGGACGTCTCCCACCTCCCATATCCACACTTCACTTTGGGTGCTTCATCTCCAGAGCAAAGTGAAGAGGACAGAACATAATGGAAATAAGGGACACTTGGCATGCTCCTTCTCAGCACCCAGTCAACTTTCTCACAGGATGGAGACTGGAGTGACTCACCTGCCACAGAAAGTGCAAGGAGGCAGGTGACATCCCCAGCACATGAGGGGCCTTGATTCCAGGGGAGCTGAGAAGACCTCTCTGGAATGGGAGGGAGGAAAACCCAGGCTTTAATGAGCTTCTGTGGTGTTTTCTACATTCATATGTGTCCATGGGGGGTGTGGCAGCAAGGCCAACCATTTCCAATACCCAGGACAGTGGCAGCCTGGCCCTCCCTCATAATCAAAGTCCCCTCTCCTTCCCCCTGAGGGGAAACAAGACTGGTATTTCAGAAGTAGGTTGAAGGAGGGTCTGAGTCACTTCATATCTACATGAGAATCCTTGTCTCTCTCCACTGGTTGCGGGAATCCAAAGGAATAAATACCAGGAATGGACCATTGAAACACAGGGGCCCAGGGTCAAAGGTGACTCACCTTCAGCACCAGGAGCAGCGCCAGCACCTATGGACAATGCACAACCCTGCTAGGACCTGATTTTTAAGGTGAAGACAGCATCAGAATCTAAGTGGGAGACAGGAGGCAAGAGGGAAGGAGGAGCAAGTCCCTACTCGGGTTCAAGCCTGAAATAGGTGTTAACCCAGAACTATCTTAGAAAGGGGTGGAGAGGAGGAGAGGGATGTTTAGCAACAGTCCCTGAGCCACAGACAGATCAGGACAACTGTCCCCCCACCGACTCCTGCCATGGTACCTGGGTGTTGTGGACAGCACTGAGGACAGCTGGATCCCTGAGATCTTTCTCTTCCTCCTCCTCCTCCTCTTCCTCCTCCTCCGGGTCTGGGGCTAGATCTGGATCTGGATCCAGATCCTCCTCCTCCTCTTCATTTTCTTCCTCTTCCTCCAATTGGGAGGCAGACACCAGCTCCTCCTCAGGAGCCAAGGGGCCACAGGACTTGCCTGGGCCCTGGTCTAAGTGGGGGCCTGAGGAGGAAGTAGACAGGGGTCCAGGTGTGAGGAGTCTCGTTTAGAGAGACTGCTTCTCAGTAGTACTTCTGTTCATAAGCCATCTCCAGCACCACCTTCAAACAACACCTCCTGTTCTAAGGTTCAACTCAGCCTTACTATCCCAGGGGGCCCCTAACCATCCTCCACTAGAGCAAACAGAACCTGGCAGGTAGCAAACACCTTCACTTACCACATCCCCTCTTCGGTGCCTCATTTAGGTACCATCACAGACTTCTCCACCTGCTCTCCCCCACCTGACAGCCCTGTCTGTGCCTCTTTAATGAACCAAGTTCCAGCTGCCCTGACTCACTGCAATTTAACCCTGCTGTGCGCCAGATACTTTGCACATACAGTATATGTTCATTTGACTCTCACAACAATCATACAAGGCTGTTATTGATAATTTCACTGTGAAGGTGAGGAAAATGGGGCTCAGAAAAGTGATCTCAGTCACCCAGTGTTATGTAGCTAGTAAGTAGACGAGTTTGGAATCACTCCCAGCAATTCTGGACACCCAAGTCCATGTCCATGCACTGAACCAGACCAGCGAGTCTCCACACCCCCTGGCTTTTTATCCAGATTCCACGGCTGAGTTGGTGATACCTTTGAGGCATTTCATCTTTGCAGGCTGGCAGACATCCTCCATGGCTGTTTCCTCTGGTGAGAGAGCACTGTCAGCCTCTGGAAGGTAAACCTGGGACAGGGGAAGAGACCCAGAGGCATCCTTCTGCTCAGTCAAGATGGCATGGCACCCTAAAACCACCATGGTCTCCTCCCAGCAAGGTTGTCAGAGGGGTATTGGCCCAGGGTCTCTAGGAGCAAGACACTGGGCTCTCAGCCTGCTCTAAAACCCCACCCTCTGACCTCACCAGCCCAGCTCTAGGGAGTCGTCCTGCAAAGGGACAGAAATGAGGGACAGGACTAGGAGTTGGAGGAGAAGCCCCCCACACAGACACCATCAGGCTCTGCCTGTGCACAGCGAGGCGGCTTCACAGCTGCCTTGTTGCTGACACGCACCGCCTGACAGTTGCTGTCCTTTCTGCTCAGTTTAGCCATGGCAGCCTGGGCCAGGGCTGGCTTGCTGCCCCTGGCTTTAAGAGTCCCAGCCCCTCCCCTGCTCTCCCATTAAAGGGCCAGCATCCCCCAACCACTGCGTCTTGGTAGAAATAAGAGAACATAATCTTATGATAAAGAAAATCCTCGAAAGGGCAAGAAAAATAAACAGCATTTTTAACCATCCCAGGTTGTGAGTACGGTTTATTGGGATTGATATTTGGGAGCAGATATTTAAAAAGAGGATCCCTGTTTTCCACACCCATCATAAGAACTTTGTGAGGTTATTTTCCCTTCAATCCCTAGCTTTTGCTCCATCAAAATTGGATAGGAAAGCCCTGGGTGGATCTGAGGAGATTACCTAGCAACCAAGTTCTCACTGCTTCAGGGCAGTGCATTTGTGGATCCCTATGGTCCACCTGGAGACGCTTGCCCTTCACTGGGTCCCGTAAGCTTAAGTCGGCTACCCAGCTCTAACTGACTAGGACCCCTGTGAATTTAGGGGTCTTCAAGGTAAAAATACGTTTGCATGAGTTACACAGACAATCTTATATCTTCTTGGCTGCTGTAATGGAAAACTGGTTCAGAAGCTCAGGAATAAAAAGAAAAGAAAACAAAACAACACAAACAAGCACATTAGTACTGCTAGTTGGTAAAACCTGAGACCCACCTGAGCCTCATCTAGCCCCAGAGCGATCCTGGGTCCTGTGCCCACATCCTGTGTTCAGCTGAACCTCACATGACTTGGTAGAGCTTCTGAATAAAAGAACTTCTGTACCTTTGAATAAAAATAAAAACGAAGCTAATTTCTCTACATCAAAAATGCAAGTTAGGGCCCTATTGTCCTGGTTACAGGACCGCAATTCTTGGTGCCTCTAAAGAAAAATATTTGTTTCAAAAGTTGTGCTGTAGGTCAGAACTATATGGGGCGGGGGGGGAAGTAGCTTGAAAGTTACAGAAAAACTTTCAAATATCTGAATTGGGTTCAGGCCTTTTTGGTAATGTTATTCAGCTGTCTCTCTCAAGAACTTCCTAATAACTCACTTTGGTATTATTAACAAAAGAGCCAAATGGTGAATTTCAGTGTTCCAGAAGTAATTTATTAGGTTGCTGTAGAGACCAGGTCTTAGGGAAAGCCACTTGCTGCCTGCAGATTTTCATTCTGAAGAGATTCCCTGTACCAGCTAGTACTGGAGCAGGTGGACTAAGGCTCAGTCTTTTAAGATCACAGCCCTGCCTTAGCTGTTTAAATTTTCATTTAGGACCTAGTGGCTTTTGTGAAAGTCTCCTACCCCCTTGCCTGAAGTCTTTTTTTTTTTTTTT